CTTCAGTCACAATAAGGCACTTTATCCTTGACAAAGGTGCCAAGCACATTCACTGGAAAAAAGACAGCCTCTTTAATAAATGGTGCTGGGAAAACTGGCTCTACACATGCCGAAGATTAAAAATGGATGCATATCACTTTGCTTTATTCCCCACAAATGGACCATGCACTAAGCTAAAATCAGAGTGAATCAAAGATCTTAATATTAAAACAGAAGTATTAAATCTACTGGAAGATAGAGTAGATAAAACTCTTGCAGGCATTGGTGTAGGCAAAGATTATATAAACAAAATCCCAACCATAAAGGAACTATCACAAAGAATCAACAACTGGGATCTCACCCTACTGAAAAGCTTTTGTACAGCAAGAGAAACCACCAACAGAGTAAAGAGACAACCCACAAAGTGAGAGAAAATGTTTGCCAGCTGTCCCTCAGACAAAAGATTACTTTCAAGAACATATAAAAAACTAAAAAAAAATCAGTTCTTCCAGATTTAAAGACCCAATCCAAAACTAGGCATCTGAGATGAATACACACTTCTCAGATGAAGAAATATAAACAGCAAATATGTGAAAAAATGTTCAACATCACTGGTCATTTGACAGATGCAAATTAACACAACATTGAGATTCTATTTCACCCCAGATAAAATGGCTATTATCAAGAATCAAACAATAAAATGCTGGAAGGGTCACAGGGGAAAAGAAACCCTTTACCACTGTTAGTGGGAGTGTAGACTGTTACAACCACTGTGGAAATTAGTGTGGAGATTCCTCAAAAACTAGGACTAGAAGTCCCATTTGACCCAGCCATTCTCCTTCTGGCTATCTTCCCAAAAGACTTAAAAACATCAAACCACAGCAATATATGTGCACACATATTATAGCAGCACAATTTGTAATAGCTAGATCTTGGAAACAACTTAAATGCCTATTCACTGAGGAATGAATAAAAAAAGACATGGTATTTTTAGGTTTCATTGAACTCATGACCTCACGCTTGCTAGGCAGGTGCTTGTGCCTTTGAGCTAAGTCCCCAACCCTGACATGGTACTTTTATACAATGGATTACTACTCAGACATAAAGAAGGATAAACTTGAGACTTTTATAGGTAAATGACTGTAACCTGAGACCATACTCATAAGTGAGATAAATGACACACTCGTATAAACATCACATTGTCTCACTAGTATGAGAAGCTGAAAGAAACATATAATTAAGATAGTTATACTACTGATTTCTGTGAGTTCACTGAAGAGAAAGATTTGTGCTGGTATTGTTCAGACAGTTGAATACAGTTGAATGTAGTTGAATGTGCTCTGGGTGAATGATTTGGGGACCACAATATGCAATGTATTTATGTACCATTGTTGCCCCAATTGACATGTTTTGAAATTTAGTTTTGTTTTTCTTTGAAATAAAATCGATTTCAGAAAAAGAAATGTATTTTGACAAAATAATTGCAACAAAGCTTTGTCTTAACCCAGAAATACCTTTCCATTGTTTCTCAATTCAAGGCATCAATACTGTGACTATTTTAAGAGTTAGAAACCAAAGTGTGACTATAATCTTAGCACTGTAGGGAACTGAAGCCGGAGGATGTCCACCCTACAGCAGGTGTAGGGTGGACACTTAGGATTTAGCAAGACTTTGTTTCAAACATAAAAGTTTTTAAACAAAGGGCCGGGCATATAGTTCAATACAAAGTCTTTGAGTTCAGTTTCTAGTACTGAAAAAGAAAAAAAAAGTGGTGTTTTAAGGATTATAATTTTTTACACTAGATGAACAAAACACTGCCTTTTTTAATTTAGAAAATTTAACAGGGAAATGAATTTTTTAAAACCTCGCCACTCTGACTCTGATCAGAATGTCTTATAAGGACTGTCAATGCATAAGAAACACTATCAAAAGAATCAAGTCTCTGAGGATAGAGAGGTAGGATCCAGAGTATGGTAAGTGAATGAATGAATGAATGAATCATCTCTTCATTCATTTGCAGTACTGGGCAATAAGTCACTAAGTTGTCCAGGCTGGCCTCCCAGACTGCTAGAATTAAGCTATGCACCATGACCCCCAGTGAAAAAGATACTGCTTGGGGGCTGGGGATTTAGCTCAGCAGCATAAGCATCTTCCTTGCAAGTGTGTGGTCCTGAGTTCGATCCCTGATACCGGAAAAAAAAAAAGATACTTATGACAAATCTACTGAAAAAAGAAAATGCCAGAGAAAATGAGTGCAGGTTTGACAGTCTGAAGTTGAAGCATTCCCATGAAATGGATTCTATTTTCCCAAGCATAGGTCCTGCTGGAAACGGGGAAGTGGAAAACAGGAATATGATCAAGTTGATGGCAGACATGAGGGTATGTCTAATTTTTTTTGTTTTGTTTTGTTTTCCTCCTTTTTATTGGTACCGGGGATTGAACTCATGACTGCCTGTTTATAAGGCAGGCACTTATGCTGTTGTGCTAAAGCTCCTGCCCCAGGTGTGAGGGTATGAATGAAGGAGACTGGAGAATGGGATGGCTTCACCAGTTAGCAAAGCATCTTCCCATGGGGACCAAAATCAAGAAATGAAGCCAGTAAACTGGTTTCATACTTTTTCTCCAGCAATTTTGGAAGGCAGTTAACAGACTTTTAAAACCAAGGTGTAGAGGTACACACCTGTAAATCCCAGCACTCTGGGAGGCTGTCAGGAGGATCACAAGTTCAACACTAACTTGGACAATTTAGTGACTTAGTGAGATTCTGTCTGAAAAAATCAAAGGTAAGATAAAAGGTAGAGGGGGAGACGTGAGGGTGTATCTCAGTGAGAAGGCCTGAGGTTCAATCCTTAATACTGGGGGAAAAACAAAAACAAAAAGCAATTTTTACAAGGTGTTGGGATTAATGGAATGAAAGTTATTCTTATGTGAGAGAGTATAATAAACTAGCTGGAAAGGCTAGTAGTTGTTGGGTGTGGTGTGCACACTTGTAATCCCAGTCACTTGGGAAACTGGGACAGAAAGATCATGAATCCAAGGCCAGATGGAGATCCTGTCTCACATCCTAGAGGCTGAGGCAGGAGGACCCCAGGTCTGAGTCAATCTAATGATTTAGTAAGATGCTTTCTCAAACATCAATAAAGAAAAAGAGCTGGGAATGCAGCTTAGTGTGAAGGTCCTGGGTTCAATCCCCAGTACTACAACAAACGTTTTAAAATGAAACAACTCTCAAACCTGAAGACAGACGGAGAGCATCCATAATCCCAGATATTCGGGGAGGCTGAGGTAGAAGGGCTGAAAGTTCCAGGCCAGCTTGGGCAATTTAGTGACACCGTCTCAATTTTTTTTTTAATGGGTTGGGGATACATATAGCTCAGTGATAGAGTACTTGTTTTGCATTTATGGGACCCTGGGTTCAATCCCAAATTTATTACAATTTTCAGATTCAACAGGTAAATTTATAAAAAAGGGGGGTGTTTGGGGGGGAGTAGAATGAGCTGAGCTATTTTTCTAAGGTTTAAAGTACCTGGAATTTCTTTAGTGCAAAAGCCCGGTGAAAACCACACAAAATAAAAACATTTCCAATGCAACATTTCTAAGTAGTTTACTGAGACTAGACTTCAGTGTTGTCCTGAGATCAGATTTCAGGGAGAGAATGTTATCTTCAAAACATCAGAGATGCCTCCTCTTTGAAGGTCCACAACCAGCCAGCTGTCCGGAGCCGGGAAGCCCTGCCCCATACTCCACTTTGTTCAGATCAAACCAGACCTGGTAATGTCAAACTGTGTCAGTCAGGACAGCAAAACCTACCTACCTCTTTAAAACTACTCATACTATGAGACAACGTGTTGGTAATTCAACTAGACTATGGCCTGCTGCTTGTGGGCTTGCCGAAATAAAGCTCGCTCGGGACTTTGTTCTTCCCATTATCATTTGAGACTATACTAGAAAAATAACTGACGTGGACTGCACATCAGGACAACCCTCACATTTGCTGGGACTGCAAATCATGGTCCTTTGTCTCTGAACTCAGTTCTCCTGAAAATAAACATATACCTATGTACTTAGGGAAGCCTTTGGTGAGAGACAGATGGTGAGCGGAGAGAAAGAGAAGTGACTTTTACAAGACATCATAAAAATCTATAAAAACACCCTATTTAAAACACAACTTTCAATTTGCATTACCAAGCTTACTATTGCTTCAATACATGTCAATACTGAGATTTGACAGGAATTAATATTTTAAAAATTGCCTCATGGCCAATAATCTTTTAAAGAATATTTCTTAAATTTATTGTAAACATTTTTAGTTAAGTCATTTATTTTGCAGTTATCTCAACTTAACCATGTAAACATTGTTCTATAAAACTTAAAGCAGCTTATAAAGCATGCTTGGGAGTTCAAAATCTGGGCAGATGTTTAAGAAACCCTAACTTCGAAAGCTTTATTCTCTTCTGGTTAAAAAAAAACCTTGAAAATATACACACGCACGCACACACATGTATTTTTAAAATTTATATATTAGTATAGATGGTGCTTATTTTCAGGAAGATATTTTAACGATAGCTTATTTCTGAGACTCTACCAGGTTTTAATTCAATCAGCAACACGAGCTTGATTAGCGTTCCCGGCCTAATTATAGATCACTGGGCTTCCGACGAAATTAGAATCTAGTAAGCATCTAGCAAGCACCAGCTCGGTTGTTTTAAGTTGACCATTAAGGGGTTGCTAAATAACCCGCTTCACTTCGTTACCGTAGCAAACACTGGGGAGCCCATTCCATCGAAAGGACACACTGATTTGCCTGAAGCTCCCACTAAACTGCTCACTGGGAAATAATTTAGAAAACTTCCCCAGCCTTTAGGGTAAGAAGCGAAAAGGCAATGTTGTCACAAATTCAAGGACATTTAAAAGTGTCCAGCAGCAGAGGTCTGGCTTTTCTGGAATACCGGGAACAAAAGAACCGTTGGCGAGCAGACGGGACAACAGGCTTCCCGCGCACCCCATCTTTCCCCACCCCCAAGAAATCAGATCGGGGAGCTAGAGCGCCCGCAGCCCCTGCTTCCCCTCCGGGGCCAGCCCTCGGGAAGGCCAGGGCCGCGGCTATTCTTCCTAGCACCGGAGTCCTGGGGACAGAAGGGGCCCAGACAGGGGTGTCCCGCGGCAGGCCTGGCGCTCGGCCCGCTCGGAGGTTAACGGACCCCAGCGCAAAAGGCTGCTTCTCGAGCAACGGCAGGGAGAAGAAACGGGGCTCAAAACAAAACGACCGATCTCTTATCAGCATCTACGGGGCAGGCGGAAAGCAGAGGAAGCAAACACCGGCCAGAAGCCACCGCTCCCGCCCGAGCTGCTTTTAAACTGCGTGTCTACAACCCTTCGCTCGGCGCCGCGGCAGATGGAACCCGCGCGAGCCTTCAGGCCAATCAGCGTGGCGCTTCCTCCCGTCGCCGGCCAATGGCGGCGCGCGTTCTTGGGGCGCGGGCGAAGCAGGGCGCTCTCCGTTGGCGTCCAGTGTGTGGGCTGGGTTTGGTGCGGGCTCCTTGCTCCGCCGCTCTCTGGCCGTAGTTCTGCTTCGGGGGCTTTTGTGCCGGCCTGTGGCCCCGCTTCGCGTCCGCTCTCCCTTGCTCCGCCCCGCGACGATCGTCCCGGGCAGGAACCCCCGTAAGGCGCGGAGGCGGCGGCGGCGCGGCCCGGGCGCGGAGCCAGGATCCCCGAGCGATCGCGCCGCGGTGTAGGCTGCGGGCAGGGGGGCGACGCGGGCCCCGAGATGCCGGAGTTCCTGGAGGACCCGTCGGTCCTGACCAAAGACAAGTTGAAGAGTGAGTTGGTCGCCAACAATGTGACGCTCCCGGCCGGCGAGCAGCGCAAAGACGTGTATGTGCAGCTCTACCTGCAGCACCTCACGGCGCGCAACCGGCCGCCGCTCGCCGCCGGCGCCAACAGCAAGGGGCCGCCGGACTTCTCCAGCGACGAAGAGCGCGAGCCCACGCCGGTGCCTGGCCCTGGGGCCCGCGGCCGCGCCGCCGTCGGCAGGGTAAGGACGCCGCGGCCACAAAGGCCGGCGGTCGACGGTGGCCTCCCACCGCCCGGCGACCGGGCCGTCCCTGCCTCCGTCTCCGTCCGCGCCCGGCCTGGCTGCGCCGTCGCTGCGCGGGCCCGGCCCGCGGAGGGGGCGCTGGCGAGGACCGCGCCGAAGTTGGAGCGGCGGGCGCGGGTGCTCGTGGTGGGGACGGCGCGCGATAGTGGTGGACCCCCGCGCAGGCGACACGGGCTGCTGGCCACCTGGAGTGGCTGTGCAGCGGGGGCTGCCCCTAACCTTTTCAAAAAACCACGGGACGGGCCACCCTAAAACGCTATAGGTTCAGTTCGAGCATTTTCCCGCTTTCGTAACTGAATGACTCGCTGCGGAGTCTCAGAGCGCTCCCTGGAGGGCAGTTGGCGACGCAGTCGTTTTCAACCAAAATTTGAAATAAAGAAATTCCCGCCTTTTTAAATTAAATTAAAAAAATTTTTTTGCATAGGGAGGGCTTTTTGAAAAGTTGATGTCTTGTTTGATTTTGTTCTTTTGCAGACATATCAGTCTTTGGGCAGGGAAGCAGTACCTTTACATTAAAACGAACATTTAAAAATACATTTTAAAGCGCTCAGAGATACTTTGGGTTGGTGACTGGTTGCCAAAGATTGAGAATTAAGGAAAATGTTTGCGATACTCTATAATGTATCATTATTGCAATTTGAAATATGATCACAGTTAAATTTCACATTGGCTCCACCAAATGCTTAATATCTTGATTTTTGTTCTCTGGGTAAATTTGAAATGCTATTTTGTATCCACCTGTATTTCCTGGATTTAAATCATAATGCAATTTAGTTAAAACTGTTGATTAGTGTAATGATGATTTTGTGAAAGGTGGCTGTGGTATATATTGTACTATTGATAATTAATACAATATATAACTTCAAATTCCCTTTTTTCTTTTTGTTGGGTGTGTGTGTCTTTTCTTCTTCGGGGCCTGGTGCACGCACTCCCCAAAGAGCTAACTCCCAACCTATTGCATCTTCCAGAGTTTGAGTATTCCCAGTTTAATTTTTAAAAACTATCTGACTCTTAAGGTGGAAATGAAAGGCATGTAATTGATACGTGTAAATTGTGTGGGGAAGTGACACTTAGGGCCTGGCACATAAGAGAGTGCCACTGAGCTCCATCCCTAGTCGGCGCGGGTGAATTAAAATGAAAACTCGGCCTAGGCTCTAGAGAAATTGCAACAGTCTTATAAATGTCTTAAGTCGGTGTCTGGCACATAGTACTGTCTGATAAATATTTGTTCAGTAAGTGAGAGCTCTGCCACACGTTAATTTTTTTTTGTTTGTTTGAGACAAGGTCTCACTGTGTGGTTCATGCTGATGCACTTGTGTCTCTGGCAGGCCTGGAACTCAGCAATCTTCCTGCCTCTGTCATTTGGTTCAGGAATTACAGGCTAGAGCCATCATTCTCCTCGGGTCTTGGGTTTTTTAAAATAGGCTTGTGCAGTGTTCAGAGAAATTGAGATAGTCTTTTGAATGTCTTAAGTCGGTGGCTTTGAACTTACTGTGCAGTCCAGGGTGGCCTCCAACTTGCGGCGAGCCTGCCTCAGCCTTTGAGTATTGGAACTACAGGGTGGGCCATCTTCTCCTCCCTCCCACCTTACTGTTTCTGATGTCTGCGGGTTTGGTTGTTTTTTGGTTTTTGTGTTTTTTTTTTTTTTTTTGTACCAGGGATTGAACTCACAACCTTATGTGGTTTTAAAGAAGCCCCAGTAGTTCTTTATAGAACCCTCCGTGGACGGCTATGCAAATGTATTACACCATCAGTTTTTCAGTATGTGTTAAGGATTTTAAATCTCAATTTGATTATTCTTCATTTTTGAATTCCTACTGTGTGTTCTTTTCTACAGAAAATTGGTTTCTGTAGACTTCACTCATCATAATTTAATTTCTTGGCTTATAAAATTTAAATTTGTGTAATTTCCTCATATCTGTTTCTTCGTGTCTCATTCAATTTTGTGTGAAAGAACTTTTTTTTTTTGAGACAATGTCTTGCTGTACAGTTCAGGCTGGCCTTGAACTCAGTGATCCTTCTGCCTCAGCCTCAAAGTACTTCTGTCACCCCTCCCAGCTTGGTTTGTAAGAGTATTTCCAATGGGAATGAGGCTGTAATTTAGCTCCCCTGAGGCCTTAGTTGGATCACCAGCACCCCCTCAAAATCCAGAGAGTACCTGGCATGCTAGACCCTTTCTATTTCATTCATTTATTTTTGAGAGGGGTTCTTAATGTTCAAGCTGATTTGAAACTCATGGCTAAAGTGATCCTCCTGCCTTACCTCCCAAGTAGCTGGGACCATGGGTGTGTTGCTATCATGCCCAATTTCCTTTAATGTTTAGAGTCACATGGAGGAAATCCTTAACAGTATTTTATTACTGAGAATATTTGTCTTCTCCACCTTGAGTATTTAAAACATATGCCAAATGCTGGACTTGGTGATTACTTACAACTTGTAAAAGTTAACAGTGGTCACCAGTCAGTTATGTCACTTTTATTTCTGGTGGTTTTTTTTTTTTGGTTTTGTTTCTGGTGTTGGTTGGTTGGTTTGTTTTTTGTACCGGTGATCTGAACTCACGACCTTGCACTTGCCAGGCAGGCACTTACACTGCTGAGCTAAGTCCCCAGCCCCTTGTTTCTGTTTTAAAGTACTGTATTAAGGTGAAAGGTAGTTAAAACTTAGGAGCCTGAGTAGACATTTTTATTAGTTATAAGAAAAGATGCCTTGAATTTACAAGGACTAAGAACATTTATAATAGTTGGCATATAAAAGATTGTTCTGCATGTCACATTCTTTTTATATGTACTAGGGTTTTTTCTTTCTTTCTTTCTTTCTTTTTTTGAGACAGGGTCTCGCTATGCAGTTCAGGCTGGCCTTGAGCTCACTTTGTAGCCCAGGCTGGTCTCGAACTTGCAACAGTCCTCCTGCCTCAGCCTCCCGAGTGCTGGGATTATAGGTGTGAGCCATCACAACCAGCTTTATGTACTAGGTTTTATGTTTTTTTTTTTTTTTTTTTACGGTACCAGGGATTGTAGGTCACATTTCTTAAATGATGATTATAGCTTAGGAAAAAACCAGATTATTTTTGAGAATTGCAGATAGGGCAGGGTTTGATTTGGTTTGATTTAGTTCAGTTTGGTTTTTGAGACAGGGTCTCCAGTTAACTGGGTAGCCCATGCTGGCCTAGGACTCCCAGTGATCCTTTTGCCTCAGCCTCCTAAGGACAGGGATTACGGGCGTGTACCATCACACCCAGTTAGATAAAGCAGATTTTAATTTTTATTTATTTTGTACTGGGAGGTTCTGGTGAGCTATACTCTCAGCCCTCTTTATTTTTGTTTTTTAGATAGTATCTCCTATGTCACTGTTAATAAGTTGCCAAGGCTGGGCTCAAATCTATCTTCCTCCCTCAGCCTCTCAAGACTAAGGTATGTGCCACCATACCTGGTGATAGAATTTTTTAACTGATGAATTTCAACATTTTGAAATAGACTGGAATGTGAATTTGGCCAAGATTTAATATTTGTTTAACGCATTCCTTCTATTTATCTTGTTGTTTTTTTTTTTTTTTTTTTTGTCTTTTTCATTTTTATCGGTACTGGGGATCGAACTCACGACCGCCTAGTTACAAGGCAGGTGCTTACGCCGCTGAGCTAAATCCCCAGCCCCAATCTTGGTTTTTTGAGAATTTATTTGTATCTAGAATCAAATTTATGACCTCACGCCTGCCAGGCAAGTACTTTTCTTTTTTTTCCCCCCCAGTACTAGGGATTAAACTCAACTGATTCCTGCTTGCCAAGCAGGCACTTAAACTGCTGAGCTAAACTCCCAGTCCAGGCAAGCACTTAGGCCACTGAGCTATAGCCCCCATCTTGGAATATTTTTAATTAAAAGAAGAATTATGTCATATCTGCCACCATCATAGTGTTTGATTCATTTGGTGTGGTATTACAAAAATTTGTGTGCTGAATTTTAAATTTTGGGGTTTTTTTTCTTTATTTTTAAACTTTATTTTACGTCTTTTGGTGCCGGGTATTTTTAGGTATTGAAATAATCTAGATTAGGGCCATAAGAAGACACATTTTCAGAGTTGGCAATCTGCCTTTTTGCTCCAAATAGCAAAGCATGCAGGTGTGGTTAGCTATTTAGGAGCCATTAAAGCAGAATAACATTCCAAAGTGATCCTGGGTAGATTGTGGTGGGTGAGTTTGTTGTTTCATGTTGGGGATTGTGGACTCAGGACCTTGTACATACTAAACATATGCTTCACATATGTCTCCAGCCCAGACCATGAATTCTTACCAGGAAATGTTTAAAGACTTGGGACAGAATAATTAAAAATGCCAGCAGTGAGGAATATTAAATCATAAATTGACCACTATACGCTACAGTAGTTTTAAATTGTGCAACTCCTGAATCAGAAAGATTCCAGGTCCGCAGCTTAACTCAGAAGACCTCTAACAGTGAACATTGATTGCATCTCACATCTCCATTTTCATATGAATTGAGGAATAATCTAATAGCCACTTAATCAGATGGAGGATTGGTTACACAAGGTTGGGTAAGCAAAGTGCCTAGTGCTCAGTACAGTAATTGATAGCCAGTTAGAGAATTTGGGTTCTGAATTTTTGTTTCCAGTTTTGTGACATCACAATGCAAAGTTACCATAATCGTAGTTTTAGAAGAATGAGGTAAATATGTGAAAGTGATGCATAAAGCCTGTTCAGATGTTAGTGTGTTGCGTACTATCCAGGTTTCCCAAGATGGCCTTGGAACCTTTAGCCCTGTTACCTGCCTTTCTTTGTAGAATGGGGAGATTGGTGTCTTCTTGGATTTTTTTGGATTCTCTTGAGTTAATAAAATAGGGCACTTAGAACACAATTTAACATATAATATATGTGCAGTGGGATCTATTTTAAAATAGTAATTTTTAGTGTATTTCAATATCTAACACAATGTTGCTTTTTTTGTTTTGTTTTGTTTTGTTTTGTTTTGTTTTTGTCTTTTTCATTTTTATCGGTACCAGGGATCGAACTCACGACTGCCTGCTTGCAAGGCAGGCGCTTATGCCGCTGAGCTAAATCCCCAGCCCTACAATGTTGGATTTTTAAATTGAAAAAATAGATCATCTAGTATCTGGAAGAAACTGTCCATATATAAGTGGTTTTCTTAAAGGAACAAAGCTCTGAAGACAAAATTCAGAACCTTATGTAGGCTGAAACTGCTGATTTTTAATCATCAGATTTTTAAAACCACCTGCTTCCCAGTTTTTGTTCTTAATAAACTTGGTGGCATTACTTTTTTGGGGAACTTTTCTCCCTGCAGTTTGAAATTTATCAGTCTGTTAGAAATCTCTGTTCAACTTAACTTATCTTGTACAGATTTACTGCATGAGATTTCTTTGTTCAGCTGAGTTTTTCATTGTTTTAAGAAACCATAAGGAAGTTGGATGAGTGACTTATTTTTCATTCACTTATTTGACAGTGTCAGATGCCTACACTTGTGTCAGTCAGCCTTTTAAAGCCTTTTAAAGTGCTTTAAATACAGGGCTAGTGCTCCTACTTTCTAATGCTGGCTATACAATAAAAATAGATTCTCAGGTCCAAGGCTAAGATTCAGAATGGGAAAAGCATTTTAAAACAGAAGGAACTAGCATAAGAGCTGAGGTTTTGATAAGCCAGACTTGGAAGTTATTGCTCAAGGAGTCCCCTATTTGGAGAAAATAAAGCACATATATAGAAAACTAATAAAACAGATGAGATGTAGTAGATGCTAGAGAAAAGTTTTCTTCAAAATTTAAGGCCTTTGGAATTCCTGGGTGTTTTCTTTCTAATAAAAGTTGAACATTGTTGTCACGGGAGAGATTTATAAGTAATTTTAACCTGATTGGTTTTTCATTGTTTGAAGTGTTTTCATCGTATAATATATTTTTTCTCCACAATTTGTCAATACTTTTTGGGAAGGAAGTAGGGTTACTCACATAAGATTAGGTCTGTTTAAGTCTTTTTTTTTCTAAAGAATTTGGGGCTTTTAACTATACAATTTCTAGATTCAAGGCAACTATTTTGGGTTGCTTCAAGATTTGAGCCTTAGTTAGATGCGATGGCACATGGTCGTAATCCCTCTGAGAGACTGAGGCTGGAGGGTTACAAATTAAAGCCCAGCCTGGGCAATTTGGCAAAATTCTGTCTAGAATGCAAAAAGGTGTGAAGATGAGGTTCAGTGTAAAAGCCCTAAGCTGAATCACCAATACTAGGGGAAGAAAAGATTTGAGCCTGATGGGCTCAGCTAGTACAGTCTGCATGTGTGCCAGAACTTTCTGAAAGCACCTCATAAACCTTTCCACGGCCGTCCCTTTTTTTTATTAAAAGACTTCTTATGAATTGACTTTGTTATTACTAGCAGCTATTTTAAAGAACATCTTGCTGGGCTTGGTGGCACTCAACTCTAATCCCAGCATTTAGCATGCACTTTAGGAGAGTTGGAGTTGGAGACCAGTCTGGGCTGCATAGTGAGTTTAAGGCCAGCCTGCACATGTAACAATACCCTGTCTAAAAAAAAAAAAAACCAAGAAAAAAGCCTTGTAATCTTGGGGGGGGGGGGCTGTGGAGGTGGGTGTTCAGGACTTGAACTCAGAATCTTGAGTTTGCCCAGCAGATGGTGTGCAGCTGGGTCATCCTCAGCTGCCCTTCCCCCACCCTGGGTTTATCCCTGGCCCTTCCTAATCTTGCTTTATGAAAAATTTTTGATCTTGTTGTTGTTGTTGTGTTGGGAATCAAATCTAGGTTCTTGTACATGCTACACGCGAGACAAATATTCTACTTCTAAAGTATGTGCCAAAAATCCCTGTTTCAAATTTTTGTTTACTAAGAACGTAGTGGGTCGGTGCAATGGTACCTGGCCTGTAATCCCAGCACTCAGGAAGCTGAGAGAAGAGAATCATTTTAAATTTGAGATTAGCCTGGTCTACACAGTGAGTTCAAACCCAGACTGAGGTACATACTCAAGTCCTTGTCTCAAAATAAAATAAATAGGATTCTAGTATATATGACCAAATAATGCCTACTGGAAACCTAGAATTCATTGAAAAGTAATCAATTCACACAACTTTAATTTTAGGCATTTTAATGAAACATACTTGGGAAACTATAATAATACTTTTGCCTTAAATAGTGACTCAAAGCTAAATGAACTTTGGTTGATGTTTTAGGCCATTATTCAAACAACTAGCATTTTAGTACCATAGTGCTTTCTGGGATTACTGAGATGTTCGTTAATGCTGTTCACTACAGTCTTAAAAGGCACACATACTTTGACTGCCTTTACCTATTTATTTAACTTGGGGAATATGCACAATCTTTTGTTTTTGTTTTGCAGTGCTGAGGATCAAACCAAGGGACCTGGCACACACTAGCTAACAAGCACTCTACACCACTTCTGAGCTACATCCTCAGGGCTTTACTATTTTATTTTGAGATGGAATCTTGCTATAAGTTCCCCAACCTGGTTTTGAATTTATGGTCCTCCTGTCTTAACTTCCTCAGTATCTGGGACTACAGGAATGCGCCACCAGACCTGGCAAAATTTACAGTTTTCTTTAGTAAACACTGCTATTGCTCAGATTATTTCAGAAACTTGTTTCAGTATTGACCTCAAAGTTCATTCTGTTCTTTCAACTGCCCTAGCAAAATGATGTTATAAAGGAAAGCAGTTTCAGAGATGATGTATACTGTATCTCTGAATGTGTCAGACTTCCTTCATAGGTCATAAACTGGCTGTTAAAATATCGTAATTTACAAGGAAAATAGTTTTGGGTTTCTTCAATTCTGATATGTATATGTTTAAAAATGATGGTAAAGTAAGTCTTGAATTGTCCAGGATTAGTTTAACTTTTCAGGATTATCAAAAGAGGTCAGTAGTAAACTGAGATGAAAATGTTTAGATTCATCCTAGCTTCACTTTGCAGCTTCCATGTTGTTCTGTCTCATTTGCCATCAGGAGTTAAGTGAAGTGTTAAGAATGGAGTATTTAAAATTATAGTAGATAAATAAACAAGATTTTGATGCCGTTACTACTTCTTTAGATAGGTAATTCAGAATTGACTATTTTAATGTCTATAACCTTTAAGCTACTTTTTTATTAGGTTTGCACAGCCTAGTTAAAAATGCTTCCAGATAATGAGTTGCTTCTAATTTAATCAAATTGCTTTGGCCTAGTGTAACCAACCATGCAGCAACTTGTAAGTAAAGTTGTGTGTTTTATTTTATGCAGTCTTGTTTATCTAGTACTATGTATGAACACTTTTAAATGTATATGAAAGTGATAATTGGACTTTGTTTACAGAAAGCTACAAAGAAAACTGATAAACCAAGAATAGAAGATAAAGATGACCTAGATGTAACAGAGCTCTCTAATGAAGACCTTCTGGATCAACTTGTGCGATATGGAGTGAATCCTGGCCCTATTGTAGGTACGTTGATAAAGTTTCAAATATCTTACGGTTGAAGCAAGACCCCTGGTTTCTGCCTCCTGATTAGCAGTTACAATTTGGCTTCTAAGGGCCAGTCTGCCATTAACCGATTATATGACCTAGACTAGTTTTGACTCTAAATGATGGAAATAAAATTTCAGGATTGTTTTTCCCCTTAAAATTACTTGTTATTGAGATTGTTTTATGTTAGTTGTTCATGTCACATACTACCTGGTAAGGCCATGTAAGTTTTTTATTGCAGTTGTGGAAAAATCTAAATTAATATAACTGGCCAACTCATCTGAATTATAATAATTGTTAAGAATAGACTATATTACTCTTTACTAAATTTTCAGCATAGTACGTACTCTTTTCCAGTTATCATTAAAGGAATTTTAAGGTGAGTTATATCTTTATTGGATTTCAAGAATGATACTCTTGGGGCTGGGGATTTAGCTCAGTGGCATAAGCACCTGCCTTGCAAGCAGGTGGTCATAAGTTTGATCCTCGGTACCGATAAAAAAAAAGAAAGAAAGATACTCTAAAGAATAAACTGAAAAGAGAGAATTTAGAGCCATCTAATATTTTTCCATCTCAGGTGTTTTGGTTTTGGTTTTGGTTTTGGTACTGGGAATCGAACTCAGATTGATTTCACACTTGCCAGGCAGGCACTTAAGCCATTTGAGCTAAATCCCCAACCCAATCACAGATTATTTTTAAGTGATGGTTTGCAGGGTTGATGCTGCCTTGGTGTTTCAGAAGTCTTGGCGGTAACTTCAAGATGACAAACTTTTTGGTTTTTTTTTTTTTGGATACCGGGATCAAACTCATGCTTGCCAGGCAGGTGCTTTATGCCACTGAGCTAAATCCCTAACCCAATAACTTTAAGATGAGAAAAATTTATTTTCATCTTCCAAGCTGTAAAATTTTGAACGCTGAAAATTTGGCAGGTTGGGGGTATAGTGACTTAAGAATTTAAATTGGTAGATAAATTCATGAATATGATTACCAATAGACAGTTGATACCTTTATTAAATTTTGTTTTTAAAATTCTAAAAGACACTGAAACAAACACTATTGCATATCATTGTGAGCTGTTCATCTTAAGACTACTTACGTAACATTTCTGGATATGTGTTTAAAAAGACATCCATCCTCATTTTAACTTGTGTTGTAGAAATTAAGTACACAGCTAGCTTAAAGCAAAATAAAACCTATTTGAGGGTGACTTGTAAAACTTTTCCTCATAACTGGCTACTCACAGGCATATTGTTGTGGGGTGTGATCACCGTCTTCAGTGTACAACCTCATGAAAAAGATTTTTATGCATTAACAAGTATTTTTATGTAATTATTGGGAAAAATATACAAAATGTAGGACAGAAAAAATAGTCACGTATGGTTCTTATTAAAAGAAACAGTGCAGGTGTTTGGATGGAGCACCTGTCTGGCATGCTCAGGGTCCTGGGTTTGATCCCCCAGCACTCAATAAATAAACAAATAAAAGACATATTGTAATCTTGTACTAAAGTCCCAGAAAATACCTATTTCAGAAAGGAGTACGATATGTATTACTTTTAAGCATTTAAGTTTAGAATACAAAAGAAAAGGTAAAGTATGATGCGTGCGTGCGTGTGTGTGTTACTAGAGATTGAGGCTAGGACTTCATCACTGAGCTGTCTCCAACTCTTTATTTTTTGAGATAGCTTGTGGCTAAATTACCTAGACTGGCCTCGGGTTTGGGATTTTCCTCTCTCGGCTTCCTGAGCTGCTGGCATTGTTCTTTTTTTTTCATCTTTATCGGTACCCTGGATTGAACTCACGACTGCCTGCTTGCAAGGCAGGTGCTTATGCCACTGAGTAAATCCCCAGCCCCGAGCTGCTGGCCTTGTTAAATAGGCATGCACCACCACACCTGGCTGTGATGCTGCTTAAGATAGTTTCTGGCCTGGATCTTAAGACAATGCAAGTACTAAAGCTTTGCCTCAATACAGGAACAACCAGGAAACTTTATGAGAAAAAGCTGTTGAAACTGAGAGAACAAGGAACAGAATCAAGATCTTCTACTCCTTTACCAACAATTTCTTCTGAAAATACAAGGCAGAATGGAAATAATGACTCAGACAGATATAGTGACAACGAAGAAGGTAAAATTTTAAACGATAATTACTCAAATAATAGTATTTCTTCAGACTCATAAATTGAAAACAGTATTGACAAGATACATATTATTTGTGTTTATGTCACCTGAGTGATCTTCCAGGTTTGCTGATCTGTACATGGTATTATGTTGTACTTTTTAAAAAAATTATATAAATACTATGCTGATACTTATTTTTAGCCCATGTTATGTTTTAGATCTAATCGTATTGTTATATTTGTATCTCTTTATTCCTTGTAATTGATAGGTATACATTTGAATATGCTGCAGTTTCTCTATTGATAGCCATTTGAATTGTTTAGTTTTTTGCCATAAAAATCTGCTTTTTATTACTTTAAAGCAAATATTTTGACCATGATTTTACATACTACTTTAAGAAAATTTGACTATTTTTAATACTAATATATGAAGTAACTGTCCTTTTAAAAATCAGTGTAAATATAATTTGATACTTATGAACTTCTCATTTATATATGATTTGTTAAAATTTCATGGTTAATTTGACCCAAATTGCTTATACTTACGTAAGCAACTTTTAAAGTGGTTGTTCAAGACATGGAATGTAGTTTTTTTTCTTCAACAGCACTATTTTAGCAAGGAGGCAAAGAATAAAGTTAGCTCAAGCACAAGTAATACTTAAACTTCCTGCCTCTTTTGCCTCTACAGGAAAGAAGAAAGAACACAAGAAAGTGAAGTCCACTAGGGATTTTGTTGCTTTTTCTGAACTTCCAACTACTCCCTCTGGTGGATTTTTTCAGGATATTTCTTTTCCTGAAATTTCCACTCGTCCTCCTTTGGGCAGGATTGAACTACAGGCAGCTAAGAAAGTTCATACTTCTAAGGGAGACCCACCTAGGGAGCCTCTTAAGACCACAACCTTGCCTGGCAAGGGACAGTTGCAGAAATTAGCCCGTGAAGGGAATTTGTTTCTTTCCTCCAAGTCTAGCCATGATAGTTGTTTAGAGAGAAGTCCTTCGTCATCTCAGCATGAACTCGCTGCCATGGTCTCTACTGCAGCTTCTCCTTCAGTGATTAAAGAAACCACTACTACTTACTGTAAAGACATAGTAGAAAATATTTTCCATGGAGGAAAAAGGGGAACTCGGCCATTATGTACTGCAGAGGCCAATATCTCAGATCAGTCAATTCTATCCAGCGAGAGGGAAGTACTAGAGGAGTGTAGGAGATCACAGGTGCTTTCTCCACCACTTGCTCAGGCAATCAGAGATTATGTCAATTCTCTATTAGTCCAGGGTGGCGCAAGCAGTTTGCCTGGGACTTCTAAATCTGTACCCACACTGGATGTAGAAAGAATATGTCAGAGAATTGATCCATCTAAATTTCAAGAAGCTGAATTTCTGACTCCTCCACACAAACTCCCTAGACTCAGTGAGAAGGCAGTAGAGGAAAGGGATCCCGGTTCCTTTGTGGCATCTCAGAGTAGTCCTGGATCTGCACACATGTCTGCTTCTGCCAAAACTGTTGTCTCTCATTCACTCTCTACCTTAGGCATAGAAATGTCCAACCAGTCGCAGCATGATAAACTAGATGCCTCAGGACTGTCTTTTCCTTTGCATGAATCTATTTTAAAAGTAATTGAAGAAGAGTGGCAGCAGGTTGACAGAGAGCTACCTTCATTGGCATGCAAGTATCCAGTTTCTTCCAGAGAGGCAACACGAATATTATCAGTTCCAAAAGTAGATGATGAAATCCTGGGGCTTATTGCTGAAGGCACCCCAGCAGCAGGTGTTCAGCCAGCCTCTGCTGAGTCCTGCGATAAACATTTGGACTTGGCACTCTGCAGGACGTACGAAGCTGCAGCATCGGTGTTGCAGGCTGCAACCCACACCGCCTTTGTAGCTAAGGCTATGCAGGCAGACATCAGTCAGGCTGCACAGATACTTAGCGCAGATCCTAGTCACGCACCCCAGGCACTTGAGATGCTGAGCAGAACGTATGATGCAGCTTCATTTCTCTGTGAGGCTGCGTTTGATGAAGTGAAGATGGCTGCCTGTACCATGGCGTCTTCCAGTGGTGGCCGCCGGCATCTCTGGTTGAAGGATTGCAGACTTAGTCCAGCTTCTAAGAACAAGCTGACTGTTGCTCCCTTCAAAGGTGGCACTTTATTTGGAGGAGAAGTACACAAAATAATTAAAAAGCGTGGAAATAAGCGCTAACATGGTTAAGAACAAAGACATCTTTCTTATTTTGGATATGGAAAACTTAAGGAGTTTTATGGGTGTCTTAGGTACCTTTAAGGTTATTTTGGTCTCCAGATTGGGCTGATTTCTTTTTTGTGGGGAGGGGTACTGGGAATTGAACTCAGGACTTTGTGCTTGCCAGGCAGGCACGCCACTGCTGAGCTAAATCCCTGGCCCCTGGGCTGATTTCTAAACGTTAGACTTCTACTCACTATAGTGTAAAAGTAATTCCCTATGTAGAATTGTTCTTTTGTTCTTCTTTTTGATAGGTTGATACAAACATAAGCTTTATATAGATCACATATTTGTCTATTTTCTCTTTTACTTACAACTCTCCAAAACTAAAAATATTTCAATAACTAAAATATAAGTAGTCTTCACTTTTTATAGTATCACATGCATATTGTGCTATACATAGGCTAGAAATAAACACTATTACATATTCAAAATAGTGAATTTTTTTTCCCTTTTTGGTACTCATGTCTTAAGTATCTTCACTTTCTGGAACTTGCCCACGCTTTGCTCTTAACTTTTTGCTTTTGTTTGTTGCTTGCTTGTGTGTGTAACATTGTGAGACCCTACATCCAAGAAAACTGCTAGTCCACAAACTATTACTGGTGCACAGACAGTCATGCACAAGGGGTGAAATCTCTGTGGGTGGAGGAGTAGCTCAGTGGTTAAGAGCATGTGCTTGGCCCAGGTTTAATCCCTGGCAGACCCCTCCCCCTTTCTCTTTAATAAAGGGATTTAAATCTGGAGGCACTTTTTAGCCCAGTTTTTTATTGTATGAACTTTTCCTGATAGCCAAAGCAGTGTACATTTGGATGCAGGCCCCTGTTCTCTTCCGGGCCGGGAGGTAACAGTTTCTGACCATACCAGTCCAAGACCACACTCTGAGGAGCACTGCCCTGGGAGACAGGTTCTCTGTGCATGCTCACTCACTGTTCTGTTGTTAGGTGAGCTAGACTCTGGTGGGCCTCTTTTTTCCTCTTTCTTTTCCTTTCAAACTATGTTGTATTTCATGAAGATTTAAACCACCAGTCTAGATGCTAAGAGCAAATTTTAAGTATTTTTTGTTTTTAAAGCCTTAAGAAATCATGCCATATCTGAGTGTCTGTGTTTGTATAAATGTATTACCCTGTTTTCATTTCTATGATTGTAAGGTAAGACAGTCTGTAGTAGCAGCAGCATTGTGGAAAATAGTCCTAAGCATAAGAAAATGTGGTCTCTTGGATACTTCTCTAGCCATTGCCATTGACTACACCTTTCATCTTTGCAGCTTTCTGGAAATAATTTTGTTATTTGTCCTCTGCCAATGTACATGTGTACATGTACCTACTAAGTGCTATGTGATTTTTTTTTTTCAAAAATGTATTCCTGTAGAATGCTTCTACAAATTCAATAAAGTTGTTAAATTTGAACAGTTTTGTGTGGTCTCCAGAAACATGTTGTATGTGTGCTTTATTCTTGGAGTTGCAACAAGTTGAGTATTTGTAGATGAACATTCCTTTTCCATTTCATCATTGAAACTCACTTGACATTCCAATGTTACAACTAAAAATGTTCTAATTACTTTTTGAGAAGTTTTTCTTGTATTTGAAGACTGTGTTTTTATTGACTGTTGGGATCTAACTTCATAAATGGAATTAATTCCAACCAGACAGCTAATTTGTCTAACCAATTTCTCCTTGGCTAATACACTTTTTTACTTCATGCTTTGTTAGATTCTGAGTTAAAGCATAAAATAGTTTTTTATAATGCTAGGGGTTGTCCCAAACATAAATTGATAGAAGTGTTGGGAAGTGGGAGTAGAGTTAGTAGCTTAGTAATAAATATAAATTCAACCATTTGAACCAATTTAGTTAAGATTGTTTTGGGGGATATGGACTGCAAGTAGGTTCTTCGCTGACTAGTATCAGACTGAAAAGTTAGACACATAGCTATTTTTAGCACAGGTAGCTTTTTGTAGCACACTTACCTTGAGTTCATGCAAAGCTCAAGGTTTGTTTAGGGATTGGCTCCATTCTTGGCTTATTTTTGGTGTGTGTGGAAAAGTAATCTAACTTAAATTTTTGGTAGTAAATCTGGAATTGATAACTATCTTCCTAATTTTGCTGCTCTGTGGTAAGTGGCCACCACAGTGAAAATGTTAACAGTGAGCATTTTTAAAGGTCCAGGTTTTTACATGGTACAAAATTAAATAGAAATATGGAATATTGAAGTGAATCAAAAGTAGGAATCTGTTGAGTTAATGATTATCACAATGATAAGCTGAGTAGTAAAGTACTGGCTTATATTCAAAGAAGTGTTATTTTATTGTGGGGAAGAGAAGTGAGCTGTGATTAGTACTTTCCTGTGAATATTTCTTCTTGCCTCAGTTGAACTGTGTCTAGGCTTCCTATAACTACATCAAAGAAGAGACTTTATTTTAGGGTCTCACATTCTGCTAGACTTAAACATACATTCTGCTAGAGACTTCTATTGAATTTGTGTATTGCATTTGTTTATTGTTAGTAGAGGTTTGATACCAGACAGACTTTTTCATTCCTAAAATTCTCTAGATTTTTCCCTTCCACATGCCAAATTTTAATAAATTAACCTTTATTGTACAGTACTGATGTACAACATGGATAAAACAGTGGTAACTCTTAAGATCCTTCCCCCACACTGAAACTGTCTAGGGAAACGTTACATTGGGAGCACTGGATTCACCTGTATGTTAAAAGCTGTTAGTCTGGGAGAAAGAAGTGTCAGATTAAAGCACAGGGTGATAAAAAGAATGAAATTACCAAACAAGTTGTTAAATAGTTGTGGTCGATTGAGGGTCTCAGCAATAGGTACACTTTTTTTGTATTCATGTGCCTAAAATCAGGGTTCCAAAGCACTATACAGAAAATATAGCTTCTGTGTTCCACAAAGTAATGGTTTTTCCAATGTTATTTCCAGACTCTAAAATAGAGCTCAAGCTTGAGAAGAGAGAACCACTAAAGGGCAGAGCAAAGACTCCAGTAACACTCAAGCAACGAAGAATTGAGCACAATCAGGTATTTAGTTTCATGGTCACTGTGTCCAGGTATAAGTAACCTCACAGCACTCATCCGTCTTGTCTTTGTACCTTCTGGTTAATAGGTGACATCTAGCTTCTAGCACACTCAGTAAACAATTTTATGGTTAAATGGCAAAAGAAATTTCAGCTTTGTCAGCGAAGCAGCCTATATTTACAGCCAGAGCAAGTTGCTTGGTAAACAACTCACTTAGATTTTATTAAAACCATACTGAACGTGATTATAAATTAGTCATGCTATGTTGATTGGTTGGTTGCTTGGTTGTAGGGGTGGGGGTGGAACCCAGGACCCTGCGTGTGATGAGCAAGTGTTCTATCACCATTCTTTTTTTTTTTTTTTTTCAGTACTGGAAATTGAACTCAGGGCCTTGTGATTGCCAGGAAGGCTCTTGTGCCACTGAGCTGTAATCCCCAGCCCACCATTCTGTTTTTTTAGAGGAATGTATTTGTTTGTCAGCTTTTTTTTTCCTCCTCCCTTTTTTGGTGCTGGGAATTGAACTCAGGACCTCATGCTTGTCAGTCAGGCACTGTGCCACTGAACTATAATTACTGACCCTTAAGATAAATATTTTCTTCTTTTTTTGAACTGGGGGTTGAACTCATGACCTCACACTTGCCAGGCAGGCCCTTGTGCCATTAATCTAAATCCTCAGCCCCAAGAGAAATATTTTAAAAGGTAGAATTGCCTAAGCACTTTTGAGACTTTTTTTTTTTTTTTTTTTTTTTTTTTTGTCTTTAGGACAGGGTCTCTATGCAGTTCAGGCAGGCCTTGGGCTCACTTTGTAGCACAGGCTAGTCTCGAACTTACAACAATCCTCCTGCCTCAGCCTCCCAAGTACTGGGATTACAGGTGTGAGCCACCACACCCAGCTTGAGATAACCTTTTAAAAGGCAGGAGAGAAGTTTTGTATTTGTTTCTTTGTCTATACATTTCTGACTTTTTATTTTTGCCTGCCTTATCTTTTGTGGCTTTTCCCTAAGCTCTGGTCCAAAAGACTGCATTGTGGGTGTTCAGATTTCTCTCATTTTGGGAACATCTCATTTATGATTAGATTACATTGCTCAAATCAGGATCTAAACAAGATCCACATATTTTATTTTTTACTATTATTATAAGCAGCAACTAAATTTTCTTTCTCTCTAGTTATTGTACTCTTCTATCTACAGTTTGAATATCATTGTTTTTTGTGTGTGTCTTTGAGACAAGGTCTAGCCATGCAGTTCATACTGGCCTTGAACTCACTTTGTAGCCTAGGCAGGCCTGAAACTTACAATGATCCTCCTGTCTCAGCCTTCCCAGTGGTGAGGTTACAAGTGTGAGCCTCCACACCCAGCTGAATATCTGGTTTAACTGAGAGTTAAACCAATAGCAAGTCAGTATGATAGTCTGTGATAGAAATGAAAAGTATCTGTGCTGTCTCTTACAGTAGCCTCTGGCTGTTATACTTGGAATGTATCTAGAGTATCAAAGAAGCAAGTTCTTAATTAATTTGAAGGGCTACATACAGTTCTTGGCTACCATATTGGGTGCACAGATCTAGTAGATTGATTAGATTCAAGTTCAGTTTCTTTGGCAAGAGTAGTTCATATTATCTTGTGGCCTTCCTGTCAGTCATTTCCTTTCCTTATTTATTTATTTATTTATTTATTTATTTATTTATTTATTTATTTATTTATCCATCCATCCATCCATCCATCCAATACCAGGGATCAAACTCATGCCCTCACACTTGCCAGGCAGGCTCTTAGGCCACTGAGCTAAACCCCCAACCTCCATCAGTTATTTCAGTAGGTACATCAATGTCCTGTGTTAATACTGAAATTAGTCATAGTTTCAATTTTCTTGTTTGTTTTTTAATTTTTATTTTTTTGGTACTGGGGATCGAACTCAGGACCTCATGCTTATCAGGCAACCACTTGAGCTGCTGAGCTAAATCCCTAGCATAGGTTTGGTTTTGAAAGATCAACTTACCTGATACAAAGTTTTACACTTTCTTTATATAATGATCCTAACAGCTGTTGATTATTGTATAAACCCACTAATTTACAGTTAGTTGCCATCGTTATAATTGTTTATTTTTGTGATGCTAGGGATTAAAGTAAAGGCCTTGTGCATGCTAGTTGAGTATCACTGAGCAGTACCCCAGACTTAAGGTGACCTCCAATTTTGGATGGGTAGGATTGCTCTTTTGTCATGTTTACAGTGTGCCACCCATTTAGCTAGTGTGAATTACTAAGGTCCTATATACTTCGATTTTCTTTTCTCTGTCCATTGGCCCCCATTTGTCCTTAGTGATTTATTGCTAGGTATTCATTTCTCTTGGGTGTCATTGCTTTTAGGCCTTTTCTAAGTATAGTTAGGGATAGTAGAAGCACTAAAAGAGTCATGAATATGTAGTGATAATTTAAATTTACCAATATAGACTTAATTCGGAGGTATTTTATATATATATAATCTCTTGTGCCAAGTATCTTGTTCTTCAAGTGGTACTGTTTCTTATGTAAGTATCACATATAAAAGAAGACAGCATTACTGTTAACCAGAAAACTGCAAAGTGCAATTAGAGGGATTTTTTGGTGGAGTGATGAAGCCGGGGATTGAATCCAACTGAGCTATACCCACAGCCTCATCCTCCCAGAGTCCTGCGATTACAACTTGTGCACCACACCTGGCTGGGGCCCGCCCTCTTTCAGGTTATAAAATTAAAATGCTGTGCTTCAAGTCACTTGAGAGAATCTTTTTCTTCATACCAGAAGGCCACAGTTTTATGTAGGTTTTATTTTTTGTTGTTTTCTAAAAGAATTGCACTTTCATTTTTAAATAGTTATTGAGAAATATGTATGTGATTTTAGTTAGGCAGCTAGAGTAAATTTGATTTCTATCTGTATAGTATTTTTAAAAATACAACTATGCATATATGTGCATATGCGTTTGTATATTTTTTTGTTTGTTCCTGTCCTCCTTACATAAAAGGCATCCTACTTCGTACAGTCCTGTCTTCAACCTTAAATATATATCGTATAGATTATATCTGAATACAACCATTTTCCTCATTGCTTTGTGCAGCTATACTGTATGTCTTGCCACTTACGGATGTACTGTAATTTGTTCAACCATTTGTGGTGGATCTTTTGAGTTTTCAGTTGTATAGTGTTATGAGTAAGTGGCCTTTCATAGTTTTTGGTAGGTATCAACAAGTTTCTCTCCATAATAAGCCACACCCCAGGCCTTTTTAGTGAAGAGTCTTGCTGGCCTACACCCTGCAGCCTTCCTGCCTTGGCTGCTGAGTAGCTGAGATTACAGCCGTGTACCATACACCTAGCTGCTTTTTTATTTATATGGATCATGTTTTTTAC